AACCCGTAGTACAGTCATGTAGATAAGCAGGGAATAATTTACTTTCAATCTTTTGCATAGCAATTTTGCTACACAAAATCAAACTTGAAGTGCAATTCGAAAATGTTGCATAGCAATTTTCTGCAACACTTCACAATATTGTCATTCTGGAGAGTGCAAGCTCAGACCACAAGTACACTGTAACACCTTGGTTGCAAACCTAGCTTGGTGCCAGGATGCATAGCTTAGCTCAGCGTGACTTTGTTTGTTTGTCTGTACACTTTCTTTGAATTTGCAAATCCAAATGAGCACAAATGCTCAATGCCAAGGCAGCGAATATGTTATTGTGTTACAAGGAAGGAGGGCCGGGGGCAAATAATGATAAAGAAGAGCAATTTCAAAGCTCCGTGCATCTATTTCATCCCTAAGACACACCCGGCATGCACACTGTGCTTCATAGGGTACGGTGAAAAATCAACGTGCATCACAGTTTCCTGCAACACATATCTGAAGTTGCTTCGCACCTCAGAAGAATTGCGTAGCAAACTGCGATGCGATACCGGTTAAATTATCCCCTGATAACTGATGCTTATGATCTCCTTTTCTTCTGTTTGTGTTTAGTGTTTGACCGGTCATCATTTTCTTTTCCGTTTAAAGGGGAAGTTAAGGCAAAAATTAAAATTTCACCACGGTTGTAGTCTTCGGGGTGCTGAGTCGAATGGTCTTGGTCCGAGAAAGCTGAGACGCTCCCTTTCTACTTGAATCCCAATCGAACTCGCGCACTTCCACCGAAACTGGGTGACTGCGCCCTACGAGATGGGGATTTGTATGCAAAATGTCACTAAAAGCGCCATTTCGTTCTTATAAAAGCACGGATGACCGCGGTTGGCCCATATGTTGTAGTCTTTTGGACGCTGAGTCGACTGGTTTTGGTCCGAAAAGGCTGCGATGCAGCGTTCCTCCTTTATTCCCAATCGAACATGGTTGAACAAGCGGTCACGTGCTCCTGGGTGCCAAAACCACCTGGTCACCACGCCAGCAGGCGACAACTTTCACACCAAGGTTCAACTCGAGTTCAACTCGAGTGACATAACTGCACCCAAAAAAGGTCAAACAGGCTAGTAAGTTGTACCCTGCAGGCACGGTGACCAGGTGACTGGTGTACGCAGGAGCACGTGACCACTTGTTCAACCATGTTCGATTGGGAATAAAGGAGGAACGCTGCATCGCAGCCTTTTCGGACCAAAACCAATCGACTCAGCGTCCAAAAGACTACAACATATGGGCCAATCGCGATCATCCGTGCTTTTATAAGAACGAAATGGCGCTTTTAGTGACATCAAGTTTTGCATACAAATCCCCATCTAGTAGGGCGCAGTCACCCAGTTTCGGTGGAAGTGCGCGAGTTCGATTGGGATTCAAGTAGGAAGGGAGCGTCTCAGCTTTCTCGGACCAAGACCATTCGACTCAGCACCCCGAAGACTACAACTGGTGAAATTTTAATTTTTGCCTTCACTTCCCCTTTAAGTTTATTTCGCACTGCATATTACACGTACAGTAGAGTCGCGCGCTGAAGAACGTGGAGCCCAAGAACGTCCAGCCTGAAATACTAAGAACGCCACAGCCTAAAGCTAAGAACGGCGGTGTTGGTCTTCTGGCAGCTTGTGGGATACATATGATCCAGTACGCACTGTTTCTAAGAACGCAGCCAGATTGCTGAAAAAATAAGAACGTCCCAGGCTAACCCCTTCGAAACAACGTTCTTGGGCGCGCGACTCTGTATTATTTTGTTGACTCATTTCTTCGCAGATTTTATCGCTCCACAGGTACCCACGATCTCAGTTACTCTCGTCTTGTGCAATTGTTAATTTTGCTCCTGAAATGTCCTCCCTGCTTGCAGCCCGTGTGTACATGTACCGGTACTTGCAAATTCGAATAAAATTATACATGCTTACATATGCCCAATAATGGCTTGCCTTGGAGAAGTGATGGATATGCCTGACCCGCAAGAGTAGATACTCTTGGCCTGAGAAAGAGTTACCGAGGTTACAGATACTGAGTGTTTGATAACGTTTCTTTGAATGATGTGTTTGTGCCAGTGGCTTTGCAGTCTGCGAACGATTCCGGGAGCTTCTTTTCAAACTATACAGTGGAATAGTGGAATAGTGTGGAATAGTGGAAAATGTCGTTTTGAAAACAGTCATAGTGGGCCATTCACACATGTCCACAATGTGGCGTACGCTACGTTTTCGTCCGAATAGCCATGGCAACATGGAACGCGGCGGGAAAATCGAACGCCTGCTACGAAACGTAGACGATGTTGCCAGACCATGTACAGGTCAGACCTCGCTATAACGACCCCCGCTATAACATAAACCTCACTATAACGTACAAATGTGAATGTCCCTGCCGAAACCGCATCACTTCTGTACAAAATTTCCTCGCTATAACATAATCCGCTATAGCGTAATGTTCGCTATAACGCACTGTTTGCTGGGTCCCGGGCGCACGGAGACCTCAGCATAACGTAAAAACTCGTATAAAAATGACTATGTACACGGCATGCATGCCTTCTCGCGACGAATTCGAGACTGAGCCGTCCACCTCGGAAGCAGGGAGTAGTAAAATACCGGTATTTTACCACTCCCATTACTTTTTATAGGCTCTAATCCTGTCACATCACGACTCACATGTACAAGTACACGCACTACAATAGGGAGGTTTAGTCCCACGTAATCCGTGGGTACTTTACGTGGGTGTACCACGTGATACTCAGTGACCCACGTACAGACGTTTTCTGATTCACGACATACCGTGTATGGAGGCTCACCCACGTTCCGCCAGAACGTGGGTGAAAATCAGAATGGAGCGCATTGTGCGAGCTGTGAGGGTGCTCAGCTGAAGAAGTTTCCGAAGCACGAAATCAAAATATTGGATGAGCTTCTTAGGCCGGGGTAGCTTCGTCTTTGACCAGGTTTTGGCCTTTAGCTTCATGCTTTTGTTTGTTCCGTGTGACTAAACACAACATTGCAACGTGGGTGCCCTTCATCCACTTTACGTGGATCACCCACGTACGCGTTTCCGTTACGTGGGAACTAAACCTCCCTAGTGGCTCTTGTCGCCCCTTTGCTGGCAAGCCTGTACACATGTGCACATCTTTGCTAGTCATCATCATACTTGTATGTAAAACAGTACAGTTGTAAGTGAAGAGTGTCATTTTGACATACATATTGCATATTGGTGTGCCCAACTCACTATAACATAAACCTCGCTATAACATAATTTCTCCCATCCCCCAGAGATTACGTTATAGCGAGGTCTGACCTGTACCAGGATTTGTTCTGTCGCTCCCGCATATGCGCGCAGTTTGTGTCCCCAAAAAGCTCTACGCACAGCTGAAAAGCGTGCCTGTGTGAAAAGTTCAAAACAACGTCTGCCAGACCCAGTGGGTGGAATATAGGCTTTCCCCAATTGGCCTATTTGGCTTTTCGCTCGGCTCAAAATACATTAGATTCGGCTGCAAAATCAGCTGATTGTTCGAAAATTGGCTGCAAAATTGGAATACAGTCGTCCCTCTCTAATCCGGCACTTGTTTATCCAGCACCCTTGCAAACCAGCACACTTTCTGGCAAAACGGATTTTTTCTGTTCATTTTCTGCGCTTTAATCCGGCACTTGAATTCCGCCTCCAGCAGCGATTTTCTGCAACAAATCACTCAAACTGCACATAATTCGATTTTCTAATCCAGCAGTTGTACATCGCTATCAGGGAGCATTGTAACATACACAACACATGTAACCAAGAGTACATAACCCCCCAGAGTGTGCAACGCCGATCCAGCTCTGTGTAGGGTCTTGGTCGAGCGGAATCGGATCTTCTGATGTCATGCGTACACTTCACACCAGCGCAAGGCCGGTCTCGAGGCAGGGCACCATTGTTTTTGATCCAAGAGTACCCGCGACTTCCCGGGTTCCCCTCGGATGTGTACGGTATTATGACGCAAAGATCCGATTCCGCTCGACCAAGACCCTATGCAGAGCTGGATCAGGCGTTGCACACTCTGGGGGGTTATGTACTCTTGATGTAACATACACTTGGGAGTATCCTATGCCAGTGCATAGGATATTATTCCCAAGTGTATGCTATAGACATGGCATGATAGACACAAAGTACTTGGATTGAGACAGAAAATCCTTACATTTTGACTTACGACAAAAACATGTGCAGTCATGTATGTTAATAGGTGGGCTGGGTTGGAGGGCAGGATTTGATAATCCAGCACCCTTGTTTATCCAGCAGAAAATGCCGTTGCAAAAGGTGCCGGATTAGAGAGGGACGACTGTATATTGGAAAATCAGCTAAGTTGTTGGCATATTGGCTTCAAAGTTGGTGAGATCGACTACAAATTGTAGGGGCCAGATTTACTGGCCACATCTGTATGTTGAAGTGTAGTATTTTACTACATGTAGTAACGATCTTATCTTCGATAAGAGTATATAACCCCTAGGGCGGTTATATACTCTTGGTAGTACTACAAGTACTGAAGTAGAGAGCTCGACCGGTCATGTGTGCAGCAACATCATTCATTCGTAAATGCACTTTGCAATAATATTTTGGTAGATTTTCGGGGGGATAAAGGAACCCTCCAAAATAGGCGAAAAGGTTAGCGATTTTCGATAAGTCTCGTTTTCGGCCGGCCGATTTGGGGAAAGCCTAGTGGTATACCAAAACGCGACGCGTATTGTAACGTAGTCAAGAGTAAAATATTATACTCTTGGTAGTATGAATAGCCTAGTATAAGCCACAGTGGAATGTTACACAGATGGGTATGTGGGGATCGGGATGGCTGATATCTAGATCCATGCATCATTCCCTGATACATGTAATCAAAAGTAACATGGTTATGTACTCTTGATGTAATCAAGAGTTATGAACTCTTGATGTGTACTCCCTGATCAAGTAAAGCACATTCACCTCTCCCACAAACGCACACGCACCTGTCAATGCCCAAAAAGGAGACGTCAAGTACAAGAGCACAATCTACTCAATGTGAACATATGAAATTTAATTAGACAGAATGATACACTGCACATGAAGAGCAGGAGACAAAATAAACTAGCATTACTCTATTACACTGGGCTGATTGCCGGCACCTAGCAAGCAAAAAAATTATAGCGACACGCAAGCCTGTGCCTCGATGCATTATCAAAGAAGCCACCAATTGTATATTCAAGGTTTGTTTGGGCATCTGGCCAGGCATGGCATAATTACTAAGGAGAATCCGAAAAATGTCTAGTGTGGTAACGCTGGCAAAAGTGTGGGGACAGAATAAGCAAGAAGCCGATGGAAAGAAAAATAACTAAACTAACTGACTGATTGCTGGCAAGCTTTCTCCAAGGATGGATGTTGGCCAAGAACGAGCCTAGGGAGAGTAGACAGTTCGATAAACGTGTTAAAATAGATCAATACAATGGGTGACAGCAAGACAATAATAAACTAACCCGACGAACAAACTCCCTGATCCTGATGAGATGAACTACAAACTGTAGGCTTCCAAATGAAGAGCGCACCAGGAGTAACTTCCCGTATTTCCCCGCAGTTCTTTTTTGCAACATCACTCAATCCAGAAGATGGACACACCAATGCATGGAGAATGGAGACCGACCTCAAGAAACACATTTGCACAGGGAAACTCTCAACAGACTAATTGCTCAGGTGTAGATGAAAGTATAGGAAACTCCACGTCCACATCAATTGCTTACAGGCACTCAGTTGCAGACTAGATGTCCGACAACCACGATCCAAGAAAGGTGAAAATATAACCAAATTCGTTGTGTCATTTTGTGATACCCTTCGTTGACGAAGTGCTTCATGGCTTGGGCGAGCTGGGAGCTGACGAATCTCCACTCTTTTCGCTTTTTCTGCCAGCCTTCCAGGGCAAGCGTAGCCGCTGCTTCCAGGACACTCGGCGCTTGAGTGGATCGCCATCACGAGCACTTGGTCCGGACATAGTAGAAGAACGTTCACGATGTTGGTAGAAGTCCTCATCGTCAAAGTTGATGGCATTCTGACGCATCGGACTCTTTCCGGCGTCTTCCTCTTTGATTTCCACCTTGACCCGACGAGGTGCCGACTGCTCTTTCTGCAGCTCAGCAGCAGCAGCAGCGGCAGCTGCAGCAGCCCTAGCCTCTTCTTCACGAGCTACTGAGTCCTTCTTTGCTGCAGCAGCAGCTTCGGCTTGACTGTGAACATAGACACAAGCAAAAAGAGGTACAGATTATTAGATAATTATGTGTAGTGTAAATAGATGTACATGTACTAGTACTACAAGAAACCAGAAGCCAGTCTGCAAAGGACTGAACACCAGTAACAAGCAACCTAGTACATGACTGTGTAGGCTGCAGCAATGAGCGGCAGCAATACCAGGTACTTGTTCAACTTATCACAAAGGCAGTATTTGCCTAGAGGGGGATATGTCAAAATACTGTTTCAAACTTCAACTTACTCTGCCATGTTTGCATCAGCAACAGCCTGGGCCCTCTTATCATGTGCCTTGCCCTTTGCACGGTTCCTTGCTGAATCCGACTTGCCACCCTTGGTCAATTCAGACGGATCAATGGTGGCACGACGAGTCTTCTGGTCGGATGGCTTGTCAACGTTGCGAGAAGGTTTGACTTCCAGCGCCATGTTCATCATGTCACCTAACAAAGATGGCAGCTGTGACTCGTACTTCTTACCACCATTCTCCATGCGAGCATCTGAGATAGAATTATTAGAATAGAAACACTAGTATATTCAGTACAAGATAGACGTACACTTTGTTGTCATCCAATGGGAGAAGTCAGCTGTACAACAATGTCATTGAAAGCAAGCTTGGAAAATCCAAAAAGTTTTGATTGTGAAGAACCCCATCTAGTGTGTGCGCGCGTGCATGCATGTGTAAAATATCAGGAAAGCGCATGGATACTAAAAGATCCCCTTACCGATTCCAGTGGCCTTTGGCATCGGAGGCCAAGGAGCCAGAGTCAAGCTTGATCGTCGCTGAGACTGACACCAGACATGATCCCTGACATCATCCATGGTTATTCTCTCTCCAAGGTTCACAGCCAGAATTCGACGGATCAGATCACGACAGTCTGTCAACGAGGAAAGAAAGATGCAGTCAACCAGAAGATCACAGATAAGTTCACAAGAATCTTGCACTGGCTCAATCTCTTGGCCAATACCTGTTACTGCATGGTAGCTAGTCTTACAGCAGAGCTTTGAGCGACTGTCACTGGAAAACCTTGAAGTGTTACCATGGCAAAGTGACATGACAAATTTCCACATACTGCGCTGTATTTTTTTCTGAGAAACAATCACAAACTAGCAACATGATCCTAAAGACAAACTTCGACTATCCGGATTGCTCCCTGTGCTTCATTGACTTGAGGGCGTGCAAATAGCGAACTCACGAAAAATCAATATGCTGCATATAGCATTCACCCGGGACACAAATGGCATTGGTTCTAGATGAGAAGACCTTCTAACATCAAACCCATACATTGGTATTAAAAGGAGTTCTCACCTCTGCTGACCCTCTTCGGGAAGCTAATTCTGCTGTTAATCTGGAGAATCAGTGTTTTCATGTCAGCATCATTGAATGGTAACTTGCCGCAGACCATAGCATAGAGCACAACACCAATGCTCCACATGTCTGATTTGCGACCGTCGTAAGGCTGCCCGTATAGGATTTCTGGGCTTGCGTAGGCGCATGATCCGCAGAATGTTTTCAGCAGCTGATCCTTGTTGAACTGCGTGGCAAAGCCAAAGTCAGACACCTTGATGTTGAATTCAGTGTCGAGCAGCAGATTCTCGCATTTCAGATCTCTGTATAGAAGATACACCCGAAGATAGAGAAAGCCACAAAAAGCTCTTTCCAATTTTTCATACAACTCAAGAAACACTTCTTCAACATAAAGATTAATTTTATGTCAACGTACTTTTCGTTCAGTGTTTTGACAAAATGAACATGCTTGGAGTTGCACATGACCAATGTTGTGCAGCCATGAATAAAAGGTGCAAATATAATCAGCATGCGACTTCAAGCATTCTGACATATCAGGGCATGTGTTTGCAGTTGGAAAATTAGAAGATGGCGCCTGGAAATTTGAGGTTTGAATTAAAGCAAGTCCACCTGTACCAAAATGGCTGCGCAAGAAAACCACACAGCTTTACATACACCGCACTGTGTGAATGCGCCAGGTTACAGGTTTTCTGAGTTGCGAGCACTGCCTTAACCAGGCTGTCCGGATAAGATCGTTTACTCATCAACCAGGGGCAGCACAAGCTGCACCAGATTGTTCTGACTTGTGTGCTCACTACTGCTTGTGCTGATTACCAACTTCAACATGACTATCATACTCTCAGGCTGCATTTCCACGAGTTATATTCGCCCAGGTCATGTTCAATCCAGGATGCAGGGAGTTTACCACAGTTTTTAAAGTTGGGGAAGAGGGTTGACCTGAGGATAATATCAACTACAGTATGCTGACGGAAGACAATTTGTGGAGTCTTGAATGGCCGTCTGCCTACTTTGGCTGTAATTATTTGGGCGTGCCATGCAGTATAGTCCTGCTATCAAGTACGTACATGCATACAACAGTATGTTTGGATTTCAGCCTGGGTCAAGCATAAGCGCTCCAGTCAATCGGTGTACATGGAAGGTTGAAAACTCTCATGTAAACACAGCCTCTGACGGGTGTTGCTTTGATCTGCTGGCTTCAGTAGATGTGTTCCTTTTTTCCTACCCAGATTCTACTTTCTTCTACCAGCTACACCAGAGTTGAGGCTGATAGAAGTCGGTGGAGATACGGGATTTCTGTATATCCATGGTGATGGGAGCTGTTTTACACAAAATGTTGTGCATTGTAGGATAAATGTGGCATATTTGGTGGGTGATATACGGACTTGTTTCGACGATCCACCGGATAGATCTATGTGCGTGCACTAAGGTTTCTCAGCGAACACACTGCGCAGACATTTTATTCATGAATCACGTATTGTGAAAATTAGTGACGTGCTTGGTCAACTCGGGTCAAAAGCAAACCGGTTACTGATAACGTCAAGAGTAGATAAACAAGAGTGTGCAACTCCGGATCTCTCCTGCACAATCTGCAGATACCCCGCGCCCACGGCGGAATTTTTTGTTTACGTCACCTTTTTTCAGAGAAACGCGGCTTTGCCGCAGAGCAGTGTGAGAGCATGTGCTGGGCACCGACCTTGTAGTGTAAAGCCCAGCCAAGTGCACGAGGGAAAACTCTCCAAAAGGCTCGCAGCGCGTGCGTCGTCGAAAAGATTACGTCAACAAAAAATTCCGCCGTGGGCCAACCCATCCGCGAGTTGCACACTCTTGTTTATCTACTCTTGATAACGTTTATCGTCATTTTCAAAATTCATGAATCGATCGCTTGCCCATCCAGTCGACCGCTGCCGATGTGCAAAGTGTCTGCCCAGTATGTTCTCTGAGATCCCTACATCTACCCTCTCCTCTTTTTTTCCAAATCTGTTCTATTCTACTCTACCAAGTAGACAAAACGAACGCAACCTCAGTCTTCTGTGTGGTAATTACAGCACAAATTCAGGGACTTGCCTGAGTGTCCTCCTGTCCCACTCTACAACGGTTTTACTTCACGAATTACAAATGCTGCATGTGCATATACGGAAGCTGCAACAAGGCCCACACTGCCACAGGGCCAGATACAACATGCACAACTGCACTGCGGACACCATGAGAAGAGGCAGACTTACCTGTGTGCAATGCCAAGTGTATGACAATACTCCAGAGCGTCCAGCAGCTGGATAAGAAGCCGTCGAGCCTCCTCCTCAGGAATGTAGCCACGAGAGTTGATATACTCCAGCAGATCTCCATTCTCGGCCAGTTCCATAAAGAAATAGACCTTTTCATCGTGCTCGAAAATCTCATAAACCTTGACCTGGAGACACGAACGAAACCGCAAAAAAACAACGCAAGCACACATGACACAAGAAGCAGAGAAAGAGGTGGCACGGTGATTGACCGATACACCGGCGAGTAAGAGCAATGATGCAAAGGCGTTGTGAAGACACTGATCATGCAGGCTGTTCTACAGACACATTCAAGACGATAAGTAAACTGGATGCTAAAGTTAGTTCCGACAAAAACAATCTCAGCCTTCCACACAAAAAAACATACCGGCCTCGCGGACCCGCTATATTCTGTCAAGATGTTTACTCACGCAATTCGGATGGTGTAACTTCTGCAACACCTCGATCTCGCGTGGCAGGAACTTCTTCAGGTAGTCCTTCGGTGCTTTCCGTCTGTTCACAACTTTCACAGCAACCTGATGTGAGCCAATCGAGACCATAAAGTCCAGAAATCAGCACTAAGTAACTAGTTACATACTCCACGGAAAAATCAGCATAAGGACAAAAGCACTACAAAGTAAGCCAGCATTCAGAAACCTATCCACGATCACACATTTGTACGTGTGTGAATGTTTGTGTGTGTGTGTGGATGCCTGTGCTTGTGCAAGTAAGTTGTGGTTTTCAAGGTCACACCTACCTTTCCACCTGTACTGCGGACCTTGGCAAGCAAGACCTTGGCGTAAGCTCCCGTTCCCAGAGCGTCACCAAACACATAATTACTCATGTCACCTGCGACATGCTCGTAGTCAACAGGGATGGTATCATCCTGAGGTTCGCCTTCACCAGGCCTCTGCTTCTTGAAGATCGGAACAACTCCGGGACTGCACATTTTGTCCTCTCCCGTGAGCACGTCTTTGTCTTGAACTCCGCAGCTTCCTTTCACCGTTTTCTACCTACACGTCTACGAACAAACTATCTCCAGAGATTGAGTTAACTTGGAAGCCTGCTTGGTAACACGCAGGGTGCGACCAAGCATAAAGCAAGGCCAACAAACGGAGGAAGATAAGAAAAGACGAAGAGTCTACGAACGACTTGACCCAGCATGCAAAGCCTGTAGTCAACGGGATCTGGATCTGCGCGTTTCCAACTCAGAACACTGTGAGAACATGTATGTGCTTGCGACGCTCACAAACCGCTGAGTACATGAGTGACATGAAGGGTACAGAACAACACATGGTTCCACAGCGAAGGATATCTAGGATCCACGTGACGCGGTGGGGTGCGTACGATTTCCGTACCGGTACAAACTCGTCGCAAACCACATCCCATATCCCGCGCGCGCGCGCTCCATATATGACAGTCATCGATGCGTCATATTTGGAGAACTTGTCCGTAAACACCTAGAGTACCAGTATAGCAAGAGTACTTACCGTATATTCTCTATTATAAGCGCCGTGCTTCTATTTTTTCAACACCCCTCTACCCCGTGCTTATATTGGAGACCGCGCTTATATTTTTTCAACCAATACATCTATACAGAGCAAGAAGAAATACATGCATGCAGCATTGATTCCCACCAGGACCGTGCTAATAATAGAGACTGTGCTTATAATGTTTCGAAAGGTGCTCACAGTGTGCTAGTATTAGAGACTGTGCTAGTAATGGAGACCTGTGCTTATAATGGAGAATATACGGTATGTACTCTTGCTATATACGTATACACAAGAGTCAGGCGTACAGCTATAGCATACATATACAGCTGTACAGGCTGTAGCAAAATCGACATAGCTTGGCGCAGTGGCCTTATATTACTGCCCTCGCCCTTGGCTTGCAAGCTTGGGCCTTTCGCGAAGTTTCGGAATCAACTGAAACCGTGACTCCTCACGTCACACTGTACCTACAGCAGGCCCGTCGCACCGACTTTGGAGGCGGGTCCTCCCCCGGGAAAATTTTCAAAAATTGAAGCCAATTGCAAGCATTTCCGGGCATTTGGTGCCATTTCAGTGTAACTACAATGGAAGACTTTTTGATTCTGCAACAAACCAAGAAGACGCTACGATTGGGGACATGGGTTCTTCATTATCTTCCCACGAGAAAAATTTCAAAAATTGAAGCCAATTTGCAAGCATTTCCAGGCATTTGGTGCCATTTCAGTGTGTTGTGTGCAATGAAAGACTGTTTTTGATTCTGCAATAATATAAACCACGATCGGGGACAAGGATTCTTCATTATTTGCCAAGTTTGGGCTGAGCTGCGATCATGGAGTGTGCTCCAAAAAAACAACAAGAAAAACTGCCGAAAAAGTGGGGCGGCCTCAGCCGCCCCAGCTGTGACCATGGTGTCGGCCTTGACCTGATTCAACAAGCAACAGGCTACAAAACAAATGTAGGATATCTTTTCTGCATGTAGCCACTACTACTGCATGCTAACGATCGTAGGAGTAGACTTCTGTGCTGGTTCATTGCTGTCAATAGGGAGGTTTCGCTCTACGGAATTACGTATGAAAATAACGTAGGAACTGCACGTAATTTTCATACGTAAAAATCAGAGCTGTTGGGTTTCGCTCTACGTGATTTCTCCACGACTGCTAAACATGCCTTGTTGCTTTGGAGACGCGTTGGCTGCATGCGCCCACCGCATGCACCACGAACCGAAACCGCGTTTTCCATCGTATTTTGCACGTGGTGTACGGTGTGTGTACCTTGTATTTCGCGCGGCTTGAACTTTGCCATGGATAAACCTTGAAAATGTGAAAAATATTTCAAAAAGTCCTACGGAGACCCCAACGTGAGGTATATTAATATGCTCGGCAGGCCGCGAAAGAGAGCCCGTTACCTGGACCCCTACTCGCGCGGGTAGAGCGAAACTGAGCACCCTGGGATGCGAGCAGCTTTTTAGTACTCCCGGGTCCAAAATCTCACCACCAGGCCGGGATGATCAAAACGTCTGCCGGGTCTGCAGCCTACAAACGTGGATCTGCCGACACTGTGCTGTCGACGACATGTCCGGCAAGGCACCTCCTTGCGTGAAAGCAAGGAACGCTTTTTTTTTAGAAAGGAAGCTTCTTCTCCAAAATTTAAAATTTTTGAAAATTATTCCTTCTGAAAATATCATCGCGTTCTTGACCTCGAAGCTGACTGCTGAATGCGATTAGGAAAGAAGATTCCTGAAGATACACCAGACTGATTCTGGCAAGCCGTCTGTCGTCTAGATATGCAGTTATTCGTCATGCATGGTCAGCAATCTTCCTCGTTCGTCCTTTCGTTTTCCTGACCACGATGATGACAAGCAGCTCTCATGCTCAGGTTAGTGCTGTACTTGTATGTCTGGGCACACAACACATCTGAGATTCACCCACTGACGTTATCGAACTGAAGAATGCAGCAAGGGTTCCTCGGATTCTCTTGATTTCGGAACAAATTTCCTTCACTTTCACCCTCTCAGTCTCTTCCCCATGCCCTCCATGCATGCACAATGCAGCTTGCATTTCAATTGCTGTTTTTTATACTTTGGCAGTGCCTCTGCTACACTTTCATATAGAGTGAGGTCCTGTAAATAGGATCGAACATTGTTGGTGGTGGTGTGTGTGTGTGGGGGGGGGGGGGGGGTACGTTTGCAGCCAGGATGTAGGAATGACACTTCTGCACAGCAGGTGGCAATAGTCAAAACTGGTCACTCTACAAATCCCATACCTGCCAACCTTTGCAAACCTGAGATCCAATGACATAGCTAGGCATGAAAATGTATACAAAAGAAGCTCGCGGTGAGGCATGGAACTAGTGCACTTTTGGGTGCCTATCACCGCCCTCGATATCGGGACGGTCCCGGCCAAATCGGGATGGTTGTCAGGTATGAAATCCCAACCGAGAAAACCATTTAATTAAAAGATAAACTCGGCCAGGACATAGCGACTTTCTGTTTGCCGGGGGGGGGAGGGTCATCGTCCGCAATATTGGTAGAGTTACGGTTACATTGGATATGTAGATACATGTGCATCAGGGATTCATAGCACCTGGGGAGACGACATGAGACCTAAGTACCCAAAACGTTGTGAGTTGTGACCCCGGATGGGGTAGTTCTACGTGATCTGTGTTTCTATAGACCTTATTCGATAACGTGATTTTTGGACTCGCCTCCAGGGATTTGTTGTAAGCTGGGGCACGCGTACGTGAAACGAGTGGCAAGAAAGGCCCAGTTCGTACAAGGGAGTAGTAAAATACCGGTATTTTTCTACTCCTATGTTCCCACGCCGAGTCCACTGTGCACTGAGTGCAGGTCTCTTGCCGCTCCCTGGTTCCCGGGACCCTGGTTCACGTGATTGTGACGTTTATTGAATAAGGTCTACATGTATATGCGGGCATGCATAAATCAACCCTTCCACACGGACGGCTCAAACAGGCAGCCAAGGAGTGAAAATTTCGCTCCTGGGGCTAGGAGTGAAACGAAGGCCTCAATTTGCCAGATGAACCTTCTCCATCGAAACGAACGAAGGTGTCGAATAATTCTTTTACCAGTTCACAGTTGCCGTTCATGCGCACTCCCCGGGGTGGGGGGGGGGGGGGCTACTATGCACTTGTAGTGATACTTACCGTAAGCCAAGTGGAACACGACTAGTTGACTGCACAGACTACAGTACAGTATACATGCACATGTATACAGTGAAGATCAGTGCGTGCATGCCTGCCATAATCGTATGTTGACCTTCGTTCGAATTGAAAAGAGAGGGTCGTTTCGAAAAAGAAAAAAAGCTCGATGGAAGTATGATGCTGCTGACAATTCAAGACTCACTGAAGTCGCCTTTCTGGAATGGATCATGCACTCTAGGTTCATCCAATTGGATATGGACTCAAATCATTGTTACACCATTATTGTTTGGTTAGTTATTGTACATCCCATAGCATGTACAATCAACCTTGTGAATAATCTACCTCGGGTTTACAAAGCAACTCGCAAATAACGACACAATCTTCAGATCTAGTGAACATTTGATTGCATACTTCCAACCTCACGAGTAACAACAATGCGAATAGCGACACTTTTCTCATTCACAATCGAGGGTCAGTATTCCCCAGGTTGACTGCAATTGCCAATCAAACAGGAGGGGCGAAAGTCGACCACGGCTGAAAAGGCATAAAGAAAAATTAATGTATATCATGAGCTAGATGGCTGAAGGAGGAAGTAGGTTTTCTGAGAAAGCAAGAAACAGAGGTGAATGAAGCACCAGGTCTGTCCATGCAGTGGATAGAATTATTGCATTGAAAGACAGGCTCTTTACATCAGCTTGCTACTATTATACCTACATTTGCTTTCTGCCTTTTTCATGCAGGATTCTGAAAGCTGGAGCAGCTCTGCTTACCTCGACCACTGAACTTACAACTAACTTCCAACCAAGTACAAGGCAATATTATGATGAATCAAGCACGCTTGCCATCATGTCATCATTGCAAAGTACATCGACAACATAGATTTGGTGCCGACTATGTATGATGTAGAGTGTGCTCTATGTATCTATACTACTGATTGGCCTACATTGTACTTATGTGGGCTGAGAGTAATCGATTGTGCTATATGGCAGTTTACTTGTATGTCATAGATGTTAACATTGCACACAGCTTCTGAAATGCTTTCTGTTGCACTGGCCTACTGCGGCCCACTGCAAATAGATTGTAGTGGCATGGGCCATGCCATAATTATAGTAGTATACCGGTACTACACCAACAATTTCACTGGTGCACTGTACTTACTGGTACGAGTAGATCTACATCATGCACAGCCTTGTCACTGCTTTTCTCATTTTTTATTAATTTACTGTACTGTACACATTTTGGCACAGCTCTTCCACAAAGAGTTACTAGTATTTTCTTCTGCATACCTACTGTATACAGTGACCTGACTGGTAACATCTATGGCTGTGAAATCACAAATTTCTGGGTTGACAGCCTCGAACCTATACGATTTGTTTCTAAGAACGTGCTATAAGAAATTTTCTATTGAAGTATTCTACTGTAGCTCGCAGGACATGGAGTGCAATTACGTAAAGTTTGGAACACCACTCTTCTGTGATTTGGATGTCAAATTATGAAATTCAGTGTGTGAGGTAAACCCATGCATGGCATACACTGCTATAGTATGACTCGGGG